TGAACTTAATGGCAAGTTCACAAATATGGAACACCACACTCTAAAACTCTAAGAATAATAAAAATACCCAAGATTCATGAACATTTTGCTAAGTGGTAATATTTTGGCCCTTTCATTAAGGCAAAATTGCTTTTCTCTCTGTGTTAAAATAAAATGTAAAACTGTGGACAAGGCTGCATAAGCAGCTAATAAAAGGGGCTTATATCCGGTCATAAATTATCCTTATTGTCTTTGCTTCTCTAGAAACTCACAATCCTATCCTCTGAGTAAATAATTCTGTCATGCTCCCTATATTCCCAGCACTACCTACAGAATATGAAAAACCACTTAAAATGATGGCGGAAAACAGACTGTTACTTAAGAAGCATCTAATTCAAATGGGAGGCACTTTATTATTGTAATCCTGACTAGGATGAAACTGTTATAAACAGAACTCAAACAGATTTGCCAAACGCATCCTGCAAACAAATCTTTCTCCACCTACTCATCTTCTTATACTCCCTGCACCATCAAAGGAAAATAGTAATAATCATTAATATTTATCTGAGTGTTCCACATGTGTCAGGCACTTTCTAAACACACATTCAACTCATTTAATCCACAAGCTAATCATATGTGGATCAGCATCCTCATTTTATGGTTTAGGACAATGATGCACAGAGAAGTTAAGTAACTTGCCACTTATACAGAAAGCAAACAGCAGATGTGCAATTTAGGTCCAGGTGGTCCAGTGACTTAGCCTAAGCAGTGAATCCCTTCTTCCTCACTTATGGGATTTGTTTATTGATAATATTTGATTTCTCATGATGCAAGGTGTAGCTACATAGTAGAAGACATAGGAATATAAACTGGAGAACTATACATATGCTCAGTTATGAGGTTCAAAAATACCACTGTCTATGTTTTTTAAGTATTTCTTTTCACATTTGACTTGAAGTTTAGTATCATGTACATAACTAGATAACCAGAGCAAATCACACCAATTCTGAATAGAATTTTATACTATTTACAAGGTTATTTATGACAACACCTAGATTTTAAAAATAAATACCATGTTATGTCTCTTAGGACAGGTCAGCTCATGAAAATATTAACGGTGAGCTGGGCAATATGGCAGCTACTAGCCACATGTGGCTGTGTAAGTTAATGAAAATGAAATAAAGGCAAAATTCCAGTCTCTTAGTCACACTGCCACATTTCAGTTGCTCAATGGCTACATGTCTAGTGGTACTGTATGATGGAACTGCACAGATCTGGAACATTTTTATTATCACGTTCTATGGTAGTGTGTTAAGGCCCTATCTTTAGAGAACCATTTATGAAATATGTTTGAAATGAAAGTGTATTGGGCTTCTTGTTTAAAATGATGGACTGAGTAAACATGAACCCTCTCATTAAAGCCAAGACCCTATTGAAATTAAAGTACAGAAATGCAAATATGTATACACCAATGACGGCAAAGCAAAGGAGTATGAGATGCGGAAACAGCAGAGAAATTTTAAGAAACTTTTGAAAGCATGTTAATAGCAGGAAAACATAAAGAAAACTATACTTCAGGATAGGCTTTCAGGAAATCCTAGAGGAGCTAGGGGTAGATTACGTAATGGAGTGCTTGAGAGGCTGTAGGTATGTAGTCTGCAAGGATGGCAGAGAGGGTAATGAAGACTAAATGAAAGGGGACTGACCGTAGATCAATGTGGGAAGCTATCGTGCCTGCCAGAAAACCTGCTCCCACCCCACTTTGTTTGCAACAGTGGACGCTTGGTATTGACTTCTCAGTAAGAAAGTAGCTGATCCTGTCTAAAGAAATGAATGAATGGCTGGGACCAAATATGGGTGGGTGGCATTTCCAATATGACATGATGCTGTCCTCTTTCTGACACTTGAGGAGCTCACAGTCTAATTGCCTCTTAGTTGACATTTCCTGCCTTTTCTCACATGAACTTCCAAGAAAGAATTTCCACTGCAGGCAAGGACTTGGCAAGAATGAAACTAATTTACAAAACAGCACAGCTCCTCAATCTTTCTTCCCTAAATATAAATGGAAAATTTAGCATCACTAGGCATATCAGAAACACCAAAACATAAAAAAATCAAGATGAATCTATAGAAAAGTTGATCCCAGGAAAAAGAGATAAAATAAGAAAAATAACTTTTAAAAATCCAAATGATAGACTGAAAGAAGTTGAAAATATATATAAATAGGAAGAGTCTGCCATGAAAAGAAAGCTAGAACATAAAGAGGAGTTCCCAATGATTAGAAAAATGACTTCTGATTTTTTTAATATAGAGAAAATCAAGTATAAAAAGGAGCTCTCAAGGATTAAAAACATGATTGCTGAAATGACTGAATGGCTAAGCAGTAAAGTCAATGACATTTCGCAAAAGGTAAAACAACAATGAGAACAATAAGATAAGTAGAAAGAAAAGATTATTATATGAATGTACATGAAGACCACTTTAAAATGTCCAATATCCAACTGATAGTAGTTTCAGATAGAAAAGTAAAAGAAAGAGGCCTGGAGGAAGTTATTAAAGACCAATAATTTCTGAAAGCTGATGATGTAAGTCATTAGAACGAGAAAACAAATCACAACTTATCACATTCCTTATAAAATTTCAGAAAAATAATGTGTATAAGAGAGAAAATAAGCATAAAACTGTTTACTTATAAAAGAATTCAAATCAAACTGGTGTCAGTCTTTGCATCAGCAATGGGTACTAGAAGGCAGCGGACTGATGTCTTTAAGTTTCTGAGGCATATGGTTTTTCCATCTAGATTATTATACTCAATCCAATTATCATTCACACACAAGAGAAGCTATTTAGGTGGTCTGTAAGTTTACCTCCCTTGGATCCTTTTTAAGAAAGTTACAAAGGAATATACTTCAAACAAATGAGAATATACACCAAACGAGGGCATACTCAGACTACAAGATGCTCAACTCAGAGAGAATAAGAGCAAACTCAAAGCTGAAGGCAGACATTATATCTTGTGAGTAGCCACAGCGAACGGAGCAGGAAGGCAGAGGGCTCCAGGGGTTATCTCCAGGGGAAGAATAAGGTGACCTAATAGGTTAGATCAAATAATTGAAAAGTTTGAAGAACTTGATGATATTCTGAAGTGTCACAATAAATAGAAAACAGAAAAGAAAGGCAATTAGAAATCTGGAAAAAGAAAGCTGCATTATAAAATAGGTAGGGTCCAAATATTAAGCAACAATGAAATGTAAAGTATTAAGCAATTCACGGGGTGGAAAAAACGTCATCTTTTGATCTTGAGCCTAGGGCTTTTTCCCCAGGAGTGTCTCAGAAGTTACCAATGAAGTCTCACGAAATATAATGCATGCTTGGATTAAAACAGAGAGTGAAAAACAATCCAACAGAAACATTAGATCTCATATGTAACATAAATAAGTGTAGATTATTAACTATATATGGAGTTTACAACAAAATGTGTAACAAAACGCAGGCTTACAAATGACTAGATAAAATACAAAGTAGTTGGTAAACACTGGAAATTCATATACCAGATAATCTTTTGTACTATTTCATTGCATTTTAGAGTTTGTAGTAGGATTCCTTAAAGATGAATTCTCAAATAGCAATAATTATAATACTTTGATATCCTAGTCAGTTCAGGATGCCATAACAAACTACCACAGACTGGGTTGCTTAAACAGTAGAATTTTATTTTTTCACAATTCTGGAGGTGGGAAGTCAGGGCTCAGGGTCCTAGTGTGGATGGTTTCTGGTGAGGGCTCTCCCTGTAGGTCGCAGGCTGCTGCCTTTCTGCCTGTGTGCTCACATGATCTCTTCTTTGTGCAAGCACACACAAACACACACACACACACACACACACACACACACACAGAGAGAGAGAGAGAGAGAGAGAGAGAGAGAGAGAGAGAGAAAGGGAGCGTGCATGAAAGCTCAGAGCTCTGTGCTGTCTCTTCTTATAAGGGCACAAATCTCCTCACAAGGGACCACCCTCATGATCTAATCTTGTCCTAATTATTGCCCGAAGACCCCATCTCTAAATGCCATCACACAAGGGCTCAGGGCTTCAACATATAAATTTTGAGAGGAAACAGATGTTCGGTCTATAACATATAGGTTTAAAATTTTTCACATACCTATAATTTTAGAAGACAAATATCACCATCATCATTTGAAAAAAATAAGAATAGTTAAAAAAATAGGATTCTATAAAACAAAGTTTGGAAAATGATAGCATATACTTTAAAAATAATTAAAATTACAGATTATCTGCTTATCTTTTAGAATTATTCTTAGTCAAGTCTGCCCATTATCTCCACTACTGAATTTGTAGATATTAGCAATGACCTAGACCCATTTGCTTAAGTTTCCAAGGCCTGATATTTACTACACTCTTGAACCAGTTGGTTTTGCTTAAATTGCATTTTGAATGTTAAACCTGAGAACCAGTGTTGTTTTCATGATTCTTTTAGCAACTGGTTTCTTACTGGAGCAAACATATATTTAATTATAGAACAATATTACTTAAAATAGTTACTAAAGCTACAACAACTTTGTATTAAAGATTGTTTTTAGAAATAGGTTTGTTCACTGCCTGTTAACATTTAAAGTGCTTGCCATTTTTATGTTTTTTTATGCTATCTACAATTGTCAAGGAATAATTCTGCTAAATGATAAAGTAGTATGATCTTATTAATTAAATATATTTAGCAAAAGTACACCCGTGTAAAGATAATATGCTTTATGTCAATGCATTATCTATTGATACTTTTATTTTACAATTAAATTGCTATAAGTAATAACATTGGTTTTTTTCATTGGCCAAGAAAACTACCACTAATATTCTAACACTAACCCTAAGGTATACTGTTATGGTAAAACTATTGACCGAGGTATGCATGTGGGAGCCAGCCTCCATTTGACTGGAATGTGGAGGCTTCTAAACCCAAGCCTCCTATTAAGTTATAGTTTTCCTAAGATGCTTGTTTTACTGTTTCCAGGTGACGATGCCAGGGAGGCTGTTAAACATGGCTTGAATGGGATCTTGGTGTCGAATCATGGGGCTCGACAACTTGATGGGGTGCCAGCCACTGTGAGTTTTTGCAAACGCTGAGATTTCCCTTTGGAGTTCCTATTTCCATCACTGTGTTCCTATCTCTATATCTGCCTCCTCTGTGTATGTACTTTCTGTGATTACTTAAGGTGAAATAGGTGCAAATATGTGAGATCTTGGATTTTAAGTTTAGTGGCACCTAACTACCCAAATTATGTTTTATTAATTATTAATTATTAGTAATAATAATTATAAATTATATATTATAATAATTTATTAAACATTTATGTTTAATTAGCCAAGTACATTTATTTGTAACCTATGAAAGTCCCTGTTAAATAAGAAGACATTTGTAGGCAGGGATTATTCTGGCATTCATAGATACATCAATAAGTATGTAAACCGGAGTATGAGAGAAAGGATTATACCATGAATGTTCAAATAAGTGAGCTAACAGAGAATTGTGGGAATGCAAAGGCTTTGGTAGAATTTGAGATCATCAGTACAATTGAGGCAAGAAATCAGGCAGAGGGTTATATTGGAATTTCCTGTGGGGTGGGGGTTGAAAAGCTGCAGAGAAAGGGTGGGGAGGATAACACTAGGAGAAATACCTGATGTAGATGACGGGGTGATGGATGCAGCAAACCACCATGGCACATGTATACCTATATAACAACAAACAAACAGAAAACAGTACAGCCACTATGGAAAGTAGTGTGGAGATTCCTTAAAGAACTTTTAGTTCTACTTTTAGTAGAACTACCATTTGATCCAGCAATCCCACTACTGGGTATCTACCCAGACGAAAATAAGTCATTATTTGAGAAAGAATCTGTCACATTCATGTTTATAGAAGCACAAGTCACAATTGCAAAATCGTGGAACCAACCCAAATGCCCATCAATCAATGAGTGGATAAAGAACCATGGTACATATACATGATGGAATACTACTTATCCATAAAAAGGAATGAATTAACAGCATTTGCAGTGACCTGAATGAGATTGGAGACTATTATTTTAAGTGAAGTAACTCAGGAATAAAAATTCAAACATTGTATGTTCTCATTGATATGTGGGAGCTAAGCTATGAGGATGCAAAGGCATAAGAATGATACAATGGACACTGGGGACTTTGGGGGGAAAAGTTGGGAGGCAGGGATAAAGACTACAAATATGGTGCAATGTATACTGCTTGGGTGATGGGTGCACCAAAATCTCACAAATCACCACTAAAGAACTTACTCATGCAACCAAATACCATCTGTACCCCAATAATTTATGGAAAAATAAAATAAAATAATAAAAACCAAAAAACAAACAAAAAACAATAACTGGCTGGGCACTGTGGCTCATGCCTGTAATCCCAGCACTTTGGGAGGCTGAGGCACACCAATCACCTGAGGTCAGGAGTTTGAGACCAGTCTAGCCAACATGGTGAAACTCTGCCTCTACTAAAAATACAAAAATTAGCTAGATGTGGTGGTGGGTGCCTATAATCCCAGCTACTTGGGAGGTTATGGCAGGAGAATCACTTGAACCTGGGAGGCAGAGTTTGCAGTGAGCCAAGATTGTGCCACTGCACTCCAGCCTGGGAAACAGAGATAAACTCTGTTTCAAAAAAAAAAAAAAGAAAAAGAAAAGGAAAAAAAATTAGCCAGTCATGGTGGCGGGTTCCTGTAATCCCAGCTACTTGGGAGGCTGAGGCAGGAGAATCACTTGAACCTGGGAGGTGGAGGTTGCAGTGAGCCAAGATCGCACCAGTGATCTTTCACTCCAGCCTGGGCAACAAGAGTGAGACTCCATCTAAAAATCAAAACAATAAACTTCCTCTTTGCATGCTGTGTATGTGAGGGGAGATACTTGCTTGAGTTTTGCCTCACACTTCAGAGCAGATTTAAAGCTCATGATGGTGAGAGAAATGTGAGAAAGAATTTTGTGTACGGTGAAGTGTGCTTTTCCCTCAGTGTGTGGGTTTCGCGTTGAGTGGCAAAAGCTTGGGGGAAGGCTGTGGTGTCCAGGTGTCAGTACCTGCACAGAAGAACTTGCTGTACTGCAGATTTTGTTATGTCATAAGTTAGAGCCACGAAGGCAGCATGATGTCATGGGAAGAGCACTGAAATAAGAGTCTTGTCTCACCTTTCTTAGGGGATAAGATATAGGTGAGTAAGTCTCTGAGACTTTTAAGTCTAAACATCTTCACAGCATTGTGTTGCTTACAAAAAGAAAGTGGACAACTTTATGAATTCTACATTTCTGTTAGGTTAGTGCAAAAGTAATTTCACCATTACTTTTAATGGTGAAAATGGCAATTACTTTTGTGCCAGGCTAAATTAGAGTTTGCTTATATGGAGAAATAGTTATTGTCACTAGGAATCCTAGAACAGGTATTTAACTTCAGTTCATCTTAATATGTTGCTTCTGAGAAGTGCTGCTAGGCCCCTGCTATATCCCAGAAAAACTAAAAAACAAGACTGTGTCAAAAATGCATTTATCATTTCATGGTAATAATTTGATCCAGATTGGCTTTGAATTAATTAGAAAATAAGAGGCTAGAATAAAATTGATTTCTAAAATCCGTAGCACTAGATCTTCTCAAATTGAGATTCTCTGGAGTATTTGAATCCTAAGAGCATTATTTGTCAATTTTGCCTTTTCATTTTGATGCTATCTGGACCCAAACTACCTCAAGCTTAGAAATATGACTTTCTTCATGGTGAAAACTGTCAACTGCAAAACATTTTTACAGAATAAGCATTTGGGTTGTTAAGTTCTGGGGCATGTTCTGTGAACTCTAAGAGATTTTAATTTATTTTAAAAAAAGAGTCCATGCAATCCCATCTTTGAGAAACATTTAATATATCAGTTGGCTTTTGCTGTGTAACAAACAACTCCAGAACTTACTGGCTAAACCATAATCATCATTATCTCATTTTACAATTTTGTGGGTTGGCAGTTTGGGCTGAGATCTGCTGAGTGCTCTCCTGGTCTTGGTTGGACTCACTCACATGTGTCTATGTCCAGCTACTAGGTCTACTAGGAGGCTGGCATAGGATGAGCTCGGCAGGGATGCTCTGCATTGTCTCCCATCTTCCAGCGCTTGTTAGGCTTATTCTCATGAAATGGCAGGTCTCCTAGAGAGTGAGCAGAAGCACGCAAGGCCTCCTGAGAGCTAGGCTTAGAATGAGCATCCGGTCACTTCTCTCATATTCCTCTGGTGAAAGCAAATCACAAGTTCAGTTCAGATCTAAGGGGTGGGGGAACAGAGCCCTCCTTCCTTTCCCTTTCTCCCATAATGTTATAAGGAAATGAAGATAGAGATGAAATCATTGCAGTCATTTTTGCAGTTGCAGACAATCAGCAAAATGTATATGGACCAGTGATTTCCTAAGTGTGCTTAGGAAAAGCCCCTTAGGGCTGCGTGGTGAGGTGTGATGGGTGGAGTGGGTAGACAGCCTGGGGAGGATTTATGGGCAGTAAGTTGCACTCTGTCTTTTTTGCGTTTAACGAAGCACCTTTGGTTCCACCTGCTTTGTTTATTTTGAACTGTTCTGCTTTGAACAAAGGTTTCCATACCTAAAGAGTCAGAAATCAAGCGTGCAACAATGAATGCAATAGGAAGGTGGAAAGGTGAGAGCTCCTTGTGAGTAGAAGTTGTGTTTGGGGGAGGGGTTGGTGGAGCAAGCTGTAGAGGGAGCGTTCTGGAAGAGTGTGACTTGAACACAAATGAGAAAGAGGATTCTCTTTGACAGTCAGATCCTTGTGGGTTTCTTTCCACATCCCTTACTCTGCCTGACATTACTGCCTTGAATATACCACGTCCTTTATAAAGTGTTTGATAAAACAGCAAATAGAGGGATGAATAAGCAACAGTATACAGGGATATTACCATATTTTCCTGGAGATTAACTCCAGTGGAGTTAAGCCTACAATTACTTTCCCGAAGAAGCAGTAAGAAAATAGCTAAAATGAATGGTCTCACAGATGTATAGAAAGCTGAAAAGAGGGAAACATTAACAGGGCTATAATATAGTGAGTTTGTCTCCTGTATTTATTTATCTAATCTGTTCTGATCAGAATTATTTTGTGTAATATATACCTAGTAAAACTGCAGCTATTGAAAGAAAAAGGGAAGGATTGAAACGCTTAGCAATAGATGGAACATTGTTGTTCACAGAAACACGAAACACCAATCTGGTCTCGGTTTTTTAACCCAGGATTCACATTTTTAAGTATCTTTATTAGTTTACTTTTAGGCTAGGGTAGGCATTGGAAATTACCTAAACACACTTGATTTGACTGACTTTGAAAATGTGTATTGAACCCAAGCTAGCTAATATTTTTCTTTGGTTCTGGTTTCAAATGGGGAAATATGCTTAATTATAGCTTGCATCATCGCTTGGAAATTGTAGCATTTATATGTTGATGTAACTTGCCTGAATGCAAAAAGAGGACTATGTATAGGAAAAGGGACATATGTAAATAGATCCAAAGCATGTTTGGCAAGGCAGGAAAGCCAAAAGGAAAAGAGGAAAATCACATTACCTGCCAAACATTTAGGGGCCACATGCCAAGTGTTACCTCCACTTCCTTCGAATCTGTAGCCCTGTTTGGTCTTCAGCCTCATACATAAAACTCCATTTAAGTTTAGACTCTAAAATTTTAGGGTAGAGGTAGGATAACCTTTGAATGATTTCAGCACAATTATTTCGAACAAGGTGGACTTCAGTGTGTGGCAGCTTCCTCAGCATACATTTTAAATAGGAACTGTACTTATTTAGATTTTAACATTTTGAGATGAATGTGAGTGATTTCTACAGATTTCGACCTCTAGCCCACCTTGTAAATTGTTTTTATTCTAAAATGCAGTCACATCAAAGTAGCCAATTGTATTGGTTACCCACTGCCATATGACACTATAAAATGAATAACCCCAAACTCATTGATTGAAATCAGCGATCATTCATTTCCATGAAAGTTTGTGTTGACCAGTGTCTACTGATTTAGGCTTGGTACTAGCTAGGTGGCTGGTATCCAACTGTCTGTCAGCTCCAGCTGGGCTTGGTTGTGCTAGCTCTGCTTCCTGAATATTTATCCTGGGGCCAAAGATGAAGAGAAATAATACCTGGTGGAAGCTCTTCTCATGGAAAATGACATGGTGCAAAAAGAATAAGTGGGAATGCATGAGGTTGCTCAAGGCCTGTGCTCAGAAATGGCAATCTACCAACTCTGCTCACATGTTTTTGGCTGAAGTGGCCAAAGCGTGCAGGCAAGTGCACTTTGATGCCAACCTAAGCCCATCATCACCAATTGACAATCAAGACCAGAATCTTCATGGTGGAAGTGATCATACTTCCTTAAAATCAAGAAAACTATTTTCATAGAGAGTTCTCTGATATATGGTTGGATGGAAAATAGTTTGGATGAGAAAGTAAGAGACTACTTTTTTTTATTAGTTGTGTTTGCATTTTGCACACTGTTTGCACTATTATCTGAGTATGAATTTTAACAGTTGATTTGCAATGAGTAATGTTCAGAATAATTTATGTCAACACAATACTTCATTTACTTTTACACATTTTATTATCCCAGCACTTTGGGAGGCTGAGGCAGGCAGATCACTTGAGGTCAGGAGTTAGAGATCAGTCTGGCCAACATGATGAAACCCCGTCTCTACTAAAATCACAACAATTAGATGAGCATGGTGGTGGGCGCCTGTAATCCCAGCCACTTGGGAGACTGAAGCAGGAGAATCGCTTGAAGTCTGGAGGTGGATGTTGCAGCAAGGCGAGATCGCAAAACAGCACTCCAGGTTGGGAGACAGAGCAAGACCCTGTCTCAAAAAAGAAAAGAAAAGAAAAAAAAAAGCTAAAAGCAAGTGTTTTATGTTCTCATTTTATTATAACAATCTTTGAATATAAGAAACAAAAAAAAGACAACCTTGCCCTTTAAAAGAAAAATAAGCTACTGATTTCCAAATTTAGTTGGTGTTTTAGTTACTAGCATTTGTACCTCTCTTCTTTGAGGAGGAAATAATTTTACTATTGACTCCAAACCTACTTGGCTTCTTTAACTCTAAGCCCTAGCTGGATGTGTCAGTGGTTTTTTGGAGGTGGAGGTGAATAACAATTCAGTGTTAACAGAGTCACATTATTGAACTTTTCTTTCCCAGATTGATGCTCTGCCAGAAATTGTGGAGGCTGTGGAAGGGAAGGTGGAAGTCTTCCTGGACGGGGGTGTGCGGAAAGGCACTGATGTTCTGAAAGCTCTGGCTCTAGGCGCCAAGGCTGTGTTTGTGGGGAGACCAGTCATTTGGGGCTTAGCTTTCCAGGTAATTGGACAAAGAAATAAATATATAAAACAGACAATTTGACAGTAAAACAAACAAATAAAACAAGTTAGACTGATTTGCACAATAATTTTGTATCTTGGTTAGGGGGAGAAAGGTGTTCGAGATGTCCTTGAGATACTAAAGGAAGAGTTCCGGTTGGCCATGGCTCTGAGTGGTAAGATCCATTCTTCTTTACAACTTTCTTTTCTTTTATGGTCTTTAAGTCAAGGTCCTTGGTGGAGACAAGTGAATTTGAAAGGGAAGAGTGTGAGATCATTTGGGGTATATTAAATTTGATGTTGACCCCATCTTGACAGCTTTGAGAAACTCTACGTGTGCATAGTCTCTAGTAATTACTTAATCTTTATATTTCACAGCTTTATGAGGAATATTTTGGTATGAGTACTTAAAGTTAGATGCAACATCTTATTCTTTCTCATCTCATAATGCATGAACACGTAAATCTACCTGGATAGTCAACACCTCCCTTTGGATAGCTAAGTGACATTCAAAACCCTTACCTGTCCAAATCTAAGCTGCTAACTTGCCATATGAAACCGGCTCCACCTGCAGTTTCTCCATCAGTTCATGTTAATCCAGTAGTTTCACTTGCTCAGTCAAAAATCTTCAGTCGTTCTTGACTCTTCTTTTCTCTCACACCTTCACAGCCATAGGGGCTCTATCTTCGATCTTCAAAATATAATCAGAATCTGACCTCCCTGTCATCTCCGCTGCCACTGCCCTGGCTAGAGCCATCATTGTCTCTCTTCCCATGGACATTGTGGGTGAGCGTGTCTGTCCTCACCTCCCTAACCTCTCCCAGTCTATTCTGATTATGGCAGCCAGAATGCTTCTTTTAAAAATTAATTGAGATCATGTTAGTTTTCAGATCAGAAAACCCCCAGTGGCTCTTAGTTTACTCAGAGTAAATGCCAAAGTCCTTGCAGTGGTTTATAAGGCCTCATGTGGTTTGACTCCCGTTATCTTTCTGATCCCAATTTCTACTAGTGTGACCCTTACTTATTGTACCCAGGAGACACGTCTCCTTGACGTCCCTTGATTGTATCAGATATGTTTCAGTCTTGGGGTATTTGCAATGGTTGTTCCCTCTGCCTAGATGCTCTTCCTCCAGATAGCTTCATGAATAACTTCCTCTCATCTTTCACGCATTCACATAAAGTGTACTTTCTTAAAGGTGCCCATCCTGATTACTGTGTTTAAAATAGCAGTTCATCCTCCACCCATCCATTTGACTTCCAGTTTTCTTTTTTAGTTTTCTTTCATCCTTTTTCCACAGCACCAATTGTCTCCTATATATCATTATCATAGAATTTCCTTTTAAAGTTATAGGCATCATATATTGTGTTCCCCCTTTAGAACAAAAGATGCATGTGGCAGGGGGCTTTGTTGTTTTGACTACAGTATTTCAGTTCCTAGAGCAGTGCCTGGCACACAAACAATACTTAATGAGAGAATGAATAAATAAATAAGCGTTAAAATATTACTAGTGACTATTTCTAATTTGACTCAGAAAGAACCAGTAGCTAGAAAGAATAGCTGTGAGTTAATTATCAGCTACCCAATTTTTGAAGGTAAAGAGGGTTTCTTTTCTGCAATCCATGTGATCTGTATTGTTCCCATATATAGAACTCCCCAGATAAATGGTCTACTCACTGCTGTACTCAGACTGCAGACAGAGCCTCAGCGAGAATGCCATTCTGTGAATCCTCACTACGCATTTTAATTTGCTACAGACATATCCTAAAAGAGAGCTTTCAGTCACTGACTCTCTATTAAATGTGGCAGAAAGAATATACTCTTTGTGTTAATAAAAATATGTGCCAGTCATTTTGTGTTAAGGACTGTTTAGGTAATAAAAAATGGTCTCATGCCACATAAGATTTGGCAAGCCTACCTTGAATCATAAACCTTACATTTGTCAAATTTTACATTCCTTGGGAAAACGATTACCTGCCTGATTATTATTGCATTCAGTTCATATTAAACGTATGCATTATTTTTTCAGGGTGCCAGAATGTGAAAGTCATCGACAAGACATTGGTGAGGAAAAATCCTTTGGCCGTTTCCAAGATCTGACAGTGCACAATATTTTCCCATCTGTATTATTTTTTTTTCAGCATGTATTACTTGACAAAGAGACACTGTGCAGAGGGTGACCACAGTCTGTAATTCCCCACTTCAATACAAAGGGTGTCGTTCTTTTCCAACAAAATAGCAATCTCTTTTAGTTCATTGCTTTTGACTTTTCAATGGGTGTCCTAGGAACCTTTTAGAAAGAAATGGACTTTCATCCTGGAAATATATTAACTGTTAAAAAGAAAACATTGAAAATGTGTTTAGTCAACGTCATCCCCTGGCAGGCTAAAGTGCTATAACCTTTAGTAAAATTGGAGGTAGCAAACACTAAGGCGAAAAGATAATGACCTCATTGTTGATTAACCTGCATTGAGTTTAGATGTCTTTAAAACAGAGGTTCTTAAATGGTAAGCTCTGGTTCAAAGTGCTGGAAATGCCTGATTCACAACATTGAGAAGGTAACACTGGATAGAACCGGATTGGGTGGTGGTAACTGGTGATACTTCTTTGAATGAAGATTTACAATCACATCTTTAGTGTCTGAATATATCTGAATATTTTGGGATGTATGTTACTTCTTAATCAGAGACGAATAAAGCATTTTTGGAAAGAAGATATATAGTCCATTTGTAACAATGTGAAATTTTAGTTTTAATTTCTGAACCCTAATTATCCCCTCGTTTCCTTTCTGCATACCTCACTGGTTCTCCTATGCCTCCTACTTCCCTTTCTTTACTCTTTTGATTCTTTACCATTGAAAACCATGGGCTAATGTAGCTTCATCATGTGTGAGGACCATGTCAAATGAAAATGTGGGCTGCTTGTTCAAAAAGCAAGATGAAACCCTTTTCCTTTCTTCCACAGTTTTTCTCTTAACCTGTCATGGAGTCTTTTGCTATCTCATGTTATGCTTCCTTGGGCATGGGGGTACCCACATGGCAAGAGTAGAGTCTTCTGGGTGCCTTGTAACTTGCCTCGACCTTCCCTGTGCCCATGCCCAGGACCCTGGCAGGGTGCCAGGCAACTATACTGAGCAGAATGCCTAAGCCAGCAACCAGGAACTCACTTAGCAGACGTGGGGAGTTGGCAGGAGCTGGAACAATGTATGATGCAAGGCTCTTAGTGTCCCCAGCACAAGTTCCACTGTCATATCAAGCTTTACTTATAAAACAAAAATTCAACGATAACATTATTAAGTATTTCAAGCCATCAACCACAGAGCATCAAACCCAAGCCCGAGACCCCTTTCTGAGCATGCAGCCCTGTCTACTGCACTAGGAGCACACCCTTGAAGCCCTGATCACGTGACTTTTACATTCATTCCCAAACCAAGTATTTGACAAATTGGAGGTGAACTAGGTAGCCTAAGTAATTTTGAAGTTGATTTTTCATTATCTCTCTGGTTGCTCAACCACTATGAGGTACTGAATGAAACAATTCAGAGAATCACCACCTGAAAACGTGATTATTATATTATGTATTATTATTATTATGCTTTATTATTCTCAGAACTCTCTCTCACTTTCTCCTTCTAAATGCTAGGGCATTCCTCGAAATTAACATGAACACAAAAAGATTTTTCTTCTGAGAATATATACCAGTTTGGTAAAAAAGAATCACTTAAGCTTACAAAAAAGAAAAGTTATCCCTTAACTTTTCTCCAAATACACAGAGTAAATATTTCTATCATATCACGTAATTGTTTTATGCTTTTCTAATTAATACTAATCAGTGAATAAGTATATAGTAAGCGTCTCTGATTTCCTCTACAGATTCAAAATGCCTTCTCTGTTGCCACTGAGTTTCCATTTTGACTATATCACAGTGTGTGGTTGTGAGGGCACTTGCTTAAAAGTTGATAACTTCCCAGAAAATAGAGATTGGCAAGTGGTGTTTTATGTAAGGTTTATGCAAGTAACAGTGAGAATGGGGATTACTGGTCTTAATTTGTGAGTTTCTCATAACTTTTAAGATTCCCTGAGCCACAATAACTCCTTTAATGTAGATTTTCATTTATGTTTTCAGAGTTGGAACATATCTGAATGCTTTATGTTTGATAATTTTTTCATAATCAAAGATATACAGCTGTTTGCTTCTACTTTTTTAAATGACTGATATGGACCCAATTGTAACAGTAGTGAAATCCAAATGTCTAATGGTTAAAAGAGGAATGGTGTGTGTTGGTTGCACATTCCCTTCCAAGGGTTTTGTAACTTAGGCTTGATAGATAGATTTCTTCGAGGAAGCCAACAAACTCTTCTCTTCCTAGGTTTCTTGAAATGTGATGGGGGAAGGGGTCACAGGGCTTCATAGGGGCTGCCTCTGCCTTTCTTGTATGTTATTTTGTGTACATAGTGCTCTATAGCAGTTTCTCAAGCTTTAATATTCATCAGAGTCACCTGCAGGGCTCCTTAAAACAGATCGCTGGGCCCCGCCCCATGGATTCTGTTGCAATCCTCTGAGTGAGCCAGCTATTGACTACAGGCAGAGAGGCCAGGCCTCACCTTAAAAGGCCAGCTGCTCCTTAGCCAACTGATACGTTTTCATTGAATTTCATTTCTTATTGACATATGAAATGCATACAGCAAAGTGTGGAAGGTGCTGAAACCTGAGTGTATCAGTGGCTACACTTTACATTTACACCTATAAGCCTACCTCCCAGATCAAAATATAAAACATCTCCGTCATCTGCAAACATACTCCTTCCACCAGAGATGAACCTATGCTGATTTTCACTGCCATTGATTGGTTTGTCACTAGTTTTCACATAAGTGGAACCATACAGTGTGCACTTCTGTGTGTAGTTTCTTTTGCTTGTGATATGTGAAGTTCATTCATGATGTTGAGTTAGCTCTGGTGATTGCTCTGTAGTAACCCATTGTAGGTATGTGCTACAATTTATCTATCTCTTCTCCTATTGGGTTATTTCCAGTTTTCTGCTGGAAGTTGATTCTAACTGATTTTTGCAAAAATGCGAATTCAGTGTTATTTTATGATTTTTCAAGAAAGCAAGACATTTAGATTTTTATGTAAAAATTTTTAAATGTTGGACGATAGTTAACATTTTGAACACTGAACAGCTCATGTTAAACATGGATGTGGCCCACAAGCCACAAGTCTCAACCCTGAAACATTTTATCCTCATGGATGTTTTCCTCATGGCTGAAATCACTGTTATGCCCTGACACAGAATCCTGGCTGAGACCTGTAGCAGTGATGGGTGCTTATCCACAGATATTGCCAGAATCTCCTTTGTTTAAGCTTATTTATATTCAGCCACCTGGAATAATGTGGGTGTGAAATAAACTTCTCTTTACCAGGCTTGGGGAGCCCCGGTTCCCAGGCCTGTAAGAATGAATTGAATGGTATTGATGCTTCTTAGCGTGATGTTTGCAAACTGCATTTGGGTCATTGCTGTGTTATTCATTTGCTTGTTTATCTTGCCAAAACATTGCCATTTGTGAAACAGCTTTAGAGGGCTGTGGTGGATTAGGAAAGCATGAAAGGAAGTTGTGGCTTGTTCTCAAAGAGAGAAAAGACTTTTCATTATAAAATTCATAATTTATTTACTGTCTGATGGGCTATGTTGCATGTCAGTTGCATAGCAACAAAATAAAGTTTGTCTGTTTAGGAAAGTCCGAAGATTTCTTGTAACATAAAGACAGAGGATGCTTTCTGAACTTATATTTGCCTCAGCGTGCATTCTGTCACATGCCAATTATAGAACAACATCAGGATGAGAGTTTATTTTAGGTAATGTAAATGTTAGCCCAAATGATAGAAGGCTATTATTATATGTTTATATGATGGGAAATCTCTTCTATTCTAAAATATGCAATTTCCTGTCCTTACCCTAATCAAACTTGAGCAATAGGTGTCTCCCTTCCTCCCTAATGTGGTTGTCCATTGTTGGAGGAAATAAAAAGATACTTTTTTATTTATCTGTTTGCTTCTCCACTGATATTTTCTGAACTTAGATAGCGAGTATAAGTTCAACTGAAAGTTTTCCAGGACCTTCAGCTAAGAATCGTGTTACCATGAATGATGCCAAAAGAAGAGCTGGCAGTCAAGTGAGCAATACGTTTGATTTCGTTTGTTCCTTTGATTCAGCATCACAGGGGAAAAGAGTCTTGCTTGATTTCCCATCTATCTTTTCCGGTTAGATCATCTGTCTTTAACGCTGATTTACCTTCCATTACTGTCAACATCCTGAGTCCATTTCTAACAGTGGAATCTTCTTATTGATAGTTTTTTACGGTAAGATTCTTTACATTTTATGTTAGAGCTTTCTCACTAAACTTACTCAACGAACATCAAGGCTAACCTGCTCAAAAGCGCTGGATTAGAATCCTAAAGATCTGAGTGATTAGCTATGCGAACCATTATTTAACCGGAGGACCCTCAGATGCTCAGCTGTGAAATGAGGGTGGCAGCATCTGCCTGTCTCTCTGGGTGATTATGAACATAACACGGTGAAATGTGTGAGAATTTATCATGAACTGTAAATCAACATTCAAAGGAAGATATTATTTTGTAATATTTTAATAATGATTATTATCAGGAAAGATAATATGACATTCCAATAAGTATTTTATTTTATAGTGTTTATTTAGAAAAAAAAGTACTTTTTTTCTAAAAGTAAAGAGTAAAATAAACATCACCACAAATTTTACCTAGAGATAACTTTTATTGAGATTAGCTGAATATCACCTCAGACATTGCTGAGTATGTATAATCAGTAGCAGCTGGATAGATAGAAGTAGTTTTGATGCCACCTTTGCAAAAACTATAACAATGAGAAAATTCTGACAGTACAAAAGATCTGATCTAATCAAACTCCATCTTGCCTTTAACCTCCAAACTGCCTGTGGTCATTCCAGGGCTTGGGCCAAGCTAACATTGGGCGATATTTAGCTTATAGTTTAAATGATGCTATCCCTTCTTGGAAACTAAACAGCCCTTGTAAAGCTAATGAGGGATCGCCAGGTTAGGAGGATGAAAGGAGACTGCATTCTGTTACGATGTAGGCCTAAAGGATGATCAGCCTTTATTCTGGGGTCACACAATTTGCAGCATCCCGAATTACTCCTGCAGATAACATCACCAGTGTATACCCTAAGACTGACCTTTTGAGATGTCTTTTCAGGCTTTGGCATTTCTGAGGACTGGGCGGCCACCGATCTGTGACTCTTGACGCAGCGGGTCCTGTGGCCCCCGCCCAGAAGCAGACTCAGTGCACAAGGACCATTTTTCACACTCCTGTGATTGCATCGCCAAGCAGTCAGCAGCACCCATTCCCTAGCCTGACAAACTATCCTTGAAATATCCTAAACTCTGAAATTTTCAAGGAAGTTGATTCGAGTAATAATAAAGCTCCAGTCTCCTGTTTAGATAGCTCTACATGTATTAAACTCTTTCTGTATTACAAATTTGTGTCTTGAAAATTTGGCTCTATCTGCGCAGTGGGCAAAATGAACATGTTGGATAGTTACAGTTTCACTAAAATAGGATTATACAATAAATGTTACGTTTAAGTAAAATATTCAATTTATTTTTACTTTCAATTTGTAGAAGGAAAAGTAAAGTTGGAAACATTTAAAATTAAGATTTTTT